CAAAATACCATTGATATCCGCGCAAACCGGAGTCTGGCGTTGATGATTCGCTGCAGGATAAATTATTGTTGAGATTTGTATGTACCGACCCCGTAATCACGCTACGTGTTCATATCGAGACTGCGTTCACCGGTTTCCACGTAAACGTGGTGAATGGTAAGCTGTATCACGCGCCGATCGGCCGCGCCACGAGCTTAATAGAATAACTAAGCTCGACTTATACGAGACAAACAAGAGGCCGATCGTCAATTATTCGTTATACCGCAAGAGTACCGAGCATTGTGGAGGTATACGCGTGCAAACGAACGTTGGCTCACTCACCATGGCTGTACGTACGGAGCACGGCTTAAACGTAACGTCCGTATACGTACGGCGTTCTTCGCCATGAAATTTTAAGTCCGTGGAATTGAGACCGCGGCTCTTCCAGCGAGCGGCTACGACATTGTTGGACGAAGGTAATCACGCTTGTCGTCCGGTAATATAACACACAGAAGAGCCCCGCTCTCTGGACCACGGAACGCCGGGACGGACCGACGGAAACGCGCTCGTTTTTAGGGTCGGTGACATAATCAGAAAGCAAATTGCAGGCCTAACGGCGTCGCATGAGAAGAGGTCGTCAAGGAAAACATATATATCTTACCCTATCTCGCTCGGCGAATATATACATATATATACATACATACATATATATATATATATATATATATATATATATATACAGAGGTATATAATATATATACATATGTATACACTTTTTAGTATTTTAAATCGCGGTGAACGATGTTTAAGCAAGCTTAAATGGAATTTGCCTTGAAAATGAGACGCCATGTTTATATCACACTGGCGTCGCGCCTTCGATGATTTGGACTTGGGATAGTGATCGGGGTGGGAACTTGGTATCTTCGATCGTAAGTACTGCTGGTGCCGAGTATACACGTTGGCGTTGTTTCGTGTTGCGCGATCGAACCTAGTTTAGTTTCCACTCAAGTATACCGTGATGTCGTGACCGCACTCGATGCTTCCGTACGCGAACTGCATTTGCTTTCGGGCGTGGACATGACCGGCGAGAGCTCCCTCCTATATACCCTTTCACTCTCTCTCTGTCGAAGGAGCGACGATGAAATCTAGGGAAAATGCACACGTCAAAGGAATAGTTTGCGAACGCGCGCGAGATCGATGTTCGGCAATCGAAACAAATTTCATTCGCTACACGGCCTGAAACGCGGCTCACGGAACTGTGGGTTGTGGCGTCCAAGCGCGTTATACGGACGTTCTAAATTGCACCGTTCAGGAAACGATCGCGCCCGTATTATCGTTACAATAATGACGTTGTAACGGCGCGATGTAAAAGCCGATAGTCGCGTTTCAGCGCACCGAGAGTAAGTTAATAGATTCTAACAGAGATATTTTTTTTTACCTCGAAATCATTTTTCGAAGTCAATTCAATCGTTCTCGGCTTTAACACGAAACAACTAAACGAATGACTAAAAAGATCGCTTGCAGTAGGAAGCCTCGAAATGATAATAAACGAAATGAATATGCATTTTTGTTTCGGTGCATGTTACGTTTAGAGCGTGTCGCATCGCAATAGCGCCGGGCTTTAAAAGACCATACTCGTAAATATGCAACGTGCAACGGTTACCGGAAACTCTCGAAAGAAATAACGCTGATTCGTTTCGTTTTTCCGCCGTTTGGAGAAGCCTCCCCACACGACGGGGGGGTCGGATCCCCCGAAAATTAATTGCGGTGCTCCTAATTAGCGGTTGAATGAATTAGTAAACGCTGCAAAATTGTAGAAATCAATTATTAACCCATTTTCTCCCATTAAACGGCCCCAAAAATACCGAAGGAGAGACGATTGGGGGGAGCCCGTATTATCAATTTGATATGCGGTCGAATTCAATTTGGCTGCGGCAAATAACGACCGAGGCGTCGATTAGCAATTACAATTTCCGTAGCCGGAACCATGGTCGGCGGGTGCCATACGTACTGCACGCTAGTTCGCCGTTGAAACTTTCAAAACGCCATACCCGTCCACGACCCGACGTTATGCCGCCATCGGCCTTTCATCCCCCCTGGTCGAGGTCTCGGATCACTTCCCATTCGCAGCATGCGCGCCGCGAGTAATGACCGCGAACGATCGATGTTCCGTGCCACCATATACCTACTGGCGAACAGCGTGAATTCGTGAGGAATCTTACAGACGCGGGGCGTATCGTCGCCTGGAGGCGTATCGCTTCGATAACATGAATAGTTACGGCACTGCCATTCGACGGCGTCGAAACTGAGTCGACAAGGCACCGTCGTTACTCGCCGCTCTCTCTCTCTCACTCTCTCTCGGTGGCAGTACAGTGAAAACGCGGCGCCGAGGATCTTCCACGTGTCTCACGTGTTCGCGATAAGGATTACCGGGGAATACCGGAGAGGTTCAACGACTTCCATACACAAGTGACTTCCCCGGAGAGATCTCGCGCGTACCAAGCTATAGGTAAAAATAACTCCGTTAATAACGGAAAGCGAGCGAGCGCGCGGTCGGGGCGCAGCAGCACGCAACAGCGATACCTAGCCGGCGGAACCGAGAGCGCGCATTCGGCCGTGCGCCAAATGGAATTCTATCCCGTCTCGATTTAATTTGGATGAATGGGACAGCGCGCGCGGGGGCGGGCGCGTGGGACGGGCGGGCCGACGATTAATTGACGAAAATTCACGTTAGAACAATGACTTTCTCGGCTTGGAGTGCCGAACGAATGGTCGTCGCAGACAGCGCGGGAGGACTGTAATTCTCATCAGGAATGGCCCATTCTCCCGCCGCGGAAGATATTCCAACTTCTTGCGAGGGCCGTAAAGAGCGCCCGGCACTTTCCCGCGATGGCACTTATGTACGATAAAGTTAGCGTCTGCTTCACATTTTTACCGCTGCGGGTGTTGTACGTGTCAACGAAACGGCGGTTTAGTGGCTCGACAAAGAGAGAGAAAGAGAGATAGACTCGCGCTCGTCAACGGCGATGGAAGCGCCGATAGGAGCGCTGTTTTCAACGAATGCTAATTGTTCTAGAGTTCACTTAAGTATAATTAGCATGCCGTGCATTAATTAAAATCTTCATCGCAAGAATCAAGCTTTGAGGAGCTAAGAGCTTTGAGCACCAGAGGTTAAATAGTAAAAATACTCGCAATTTATTTCGATGCGACCAGGTTTCCAGTCGCAAACTATAACATTCGCCTGCAGAAGCACTGAACTTCATTAACGAATGTATACATTGTGTTCATTCCTAGCTTTCTCACTCCCTCTCTCTCTCTCTCTCTCTCTCTACCCCGCCTTCTCTCTCTGTCTGTCTGTGTGTTCTATTATCTGCAGATTAGGAGATGATTCGTACCTAAAATTATTTTGCGCTTAAAATATTTCAATTAAGTTTGACTAAACCGCGAATATCGCATTGTAAGTAACGTTATCGCTATAATATAGAAGATATGTATTGTCATTTTACATATATAATTATATATTTACTTACACAATTACCAAATGCCGTATGTTTCACTGATATACGAGTCGTATTAGTCTATTCAAACGATCAGCATTGAAAAACCACTATTTGATCATCTATTTGAAAACACAAGCGAGCTTATAAAGCATTATCAGTCGGATAATGATCGGACAAGCCATAGCTCGACTGTTAAAAGCTCGATATTGATATTTATTTTCATTCCATCCATCTATCATTCGTGTTAGCATATTAGCATTATAGCCTGGTAATGCTATTTCTGTTAATTAATTTCTATCGCGCAGCATATTATGGTGACGCAACTTTTGCGAGTTTTCCCAGAGAGAAATTGCATTGGACATAGATGTGCTTAATCCTTAGTACACAATTAAATCATTGCGTGTCCGCTATGTAATTAATTAGATTTATATAAAATTTTAAACACAATATACAATCTTACAAATATTTTGTAAAGATGTTAAAGTATATATAAGAACATTTAATAATTTTTATATATTTGTAAAAGTATACATTTATGTACATACTCGTAAAATGTATTTTTAGTACATAATTTTGCAAATATTTTCTGAAGATGTTAAAGTATACGTAACAATCACTTGATCATTTTTGTGTAAAGTAAAAGTGATTGAAAACTAACCCAGACAATTCATCGTGTGTGATAAAGGACCGGAAAATCATCGTGTGCACTAAGGGTTAAACGTATGTGCATATAAATGCAAGTTTTTAAGAAGCGAGCACCGATCCGGCGCGAGATAATCGTTAATAATAGTCCGCGCCTTATTGTGCTACGAACACAAATAAACTCGTGATAACAGTCACATTTCCGAGTATTTTTTATTTCGATTATTTTCATCCTAAATAAACCTGACAATATGCACGAATAAATGATGAGCGTAATCTAAAGATACACCTAATCGCGATAATTTTATCGTTTATTGTTGTTTTGGTTCGTCAAATTTCGCATGCTGACGTTGGCAGGTCTGAGCATGAAAACGAATGAAGAGCGTTACAGAACGTATACAGATTTCCACCATATGGCCTGCCGTAAACCCATGGCGTTTTACTCGAGTCTTTCATCACCGCAGTGCGCCATCGGATACTATCCATATCGGATTCTATTCCGCAAACAGCTAAGCAATGCCAAAGAAATGAAAAAAAAGTTACAACCACGCATCTAACATGTCTGTAAGTGGGATTATTTTTTAATTTTACATCTCTTCTGAAATAATACGATTGATCGATTTTAATACAGATCATAAATTACCAGCGTGAGAGAGAAAAATAAAAAGACAGTCATCGATGCGCGTCTGTTTCCCATGAAACATGGCACTGTATCAACGATTATTCTGCTACCTTTAGCAGAGCCATTTCCAGATAGACGTAAACCCGAGTGGACCGCGCGGCGTGTTTAATTCGGCCACCCAGCGGGGGAGAATGCGTGCCGGAATGTAACTGACAGAGGGCTAAATATGATGGAGGGGTCCGTTGTGATGACGATGATCCTCATAGTAAACCGTCATGTGCAGAGCGTTCTCGAAGTGTGTGGCGGCCTACATTTTTCCCGGAAAAAAGTCAGAGTTACGGATAGAAACACAACAGCTGGTACGTAAAATCGGTATAAAGAACTCTATCCGGCACGCGAGGCAGTAAATATCGGAATCCTCGTGAAACTTCGGAGTCATATACGCCCTCGCATAATGCCGGGGTTCCGGTGGGGCGTTACGAGGCAGACAGACTCGTCTGCGAAATAAATCATTGCAAATACCTTCCGACACGTGATGGTGGTAGACTCCGATCTACGGCTCATCTGTGGACGAATTTCGAGCACTCAGGGAATACCTGTAATATTGTTTAAAAGACGCTCGACATGTAGCAATAATTAACACTGCATAATATTAATGACTAGTATTAAATTGGAGAAATATTAGATCGACATATTTAACGACTTAAATATATAATGATATTTACATTTTAGAAGCGTAAATACTAAAAAATTGATTATCGTAAAATTATATCATATATCATCTATATCTTTATTTGTTATACAGACTTCGCATTATTTTTATCAGTTAAGATAAATGATAGAGGATAGCAAAACATATTAAAATTGCAGCGATTTCCTTTTTTCGCCTGAATTCCACAAGTATAACTAACTGGAATAACTCAGAAAATGTCAAACAATACCCAGTGACCGCAACCGCATTTCGAAATATCATGGAATAGCGTGTTTTAGTAGCATGCTTATGCATTAGATATCGCATAGTCGCGCGTGACGTTCCACCGCGTTTGCATAAACGTGTTCGCGCACCTTCCCACTTTTAATGCCGTCTGGATAGTTGTACGGCGCACAAATGTTAAGTGACTTAAACTTTTTTACGCTGTAATTGTAATGTAGAGTCTTCCTCCCTTTTCTCCCGCCGCCCCTCCCCTACAGCGCGCCCCATAAGATATCCGTGCACGAAGCGTCCTACGTACCGGGTGAGTCGTAACTTCGAAAAACGAACCCCGGCTCCCGCGGGGGATGAAAGTCGCGTCTCTGGCGAAGAAAACGCGGAAAATGGTAAACTCGATGAACAATGGTTCGTTTTTTATGAGAGTCCCGTAGCTGTTTGCGCGGCTCTCTCGCGAATGCATAAATGTGTGCGAAAACGAAGGAAGAAAAAGAATCGCGGGACCAAGCCGCGCAACGGAAAACCTCGCTGCCATAAACAATCATGAGTGTTTCTTTGCAGCTTGGCCGTAAATTCATTCCTGTCGACGATGAAATACGGCTACCTGTACATTTTCGGGGCCTCCACATTTTCATATAATTCCTGAGCCCCTGATTTAATATGTGTGCACCTATGCATTTTCGAAAAACGGAACGTTGCGGCACATATGAGCTCTAGACATTGTTTCTATTATTAAGAAATATCGATTCATTGCCAAATCCATAATTTAGAATAGAAACGAGGGCAGTTTCAGTGAACTAAATTCCGTATATTTCTGTTTATATCAACGTCAACATAACGCATCAATTTAAATTGGTATCAAAACGTCACTATCAAATTGCTAAAACGGGATTGCATAAGAGAATTATTATCAAATGACAAACTTAATACTTTGTTATTATATAGACAAATGGTTATTTTGCAAAACATATAAAGTTATCATTCAATATATCATATGAAGTGTGCATGTGCGCGTATATATTATGATATAATTTTACGAGTCTTTTATACGTAACGAGTAACAATTAATAATATTGACGAACAAAACGTGACAGAAATTGAGATGCCGGTTTTGTAAAACGAGAGACGCCGACCGCTTTATAATAACGTAACCTTTTAATAACAAAGTATCAGAGACCTACCGGCGCGGCTGTATTTCATATGATAGACGTACGCCCGCTGCAAAATTAAATATGCTTGCGGACAATTAATTTTATCGGCTATTGCGGCGATACGGCGATGCGTGCAAATAACGGATTTTCATTTCGCAATATCAAATATTGCAGATAACTATGTCGAAATTATATTTGCGTGAATGAGATCGCGAATATCGGCAATTCAAAGCGTGTAATCTTATTATCATATTTTTAAGGCAAACGCGAGCGAAAATATCGGAATTGCGTTATATGCGATAATAGCGACCGTTCTATACATTAAGCTCCTTGAATGAATTTGGCGCATCTTGATGCACAAAATAATTCCACGCGTTTGTCTTCGTCGCGATACTATACGTAAGCAGGCAAATAAATTTTCCATCGATCGAAGCGACCCCGTAAATTTCGTGAAGGACACGAGACCGGAGTACCGTGTATAGTGAACAACCGAACTCGAAGTGCCTTCCACCGGACAATGCTTCTTACGAACTCGTCTGCACAATCCACTCTCCAATAAAATTGAGTGCCACCAATTATTTCCAATTATGTCAGATTTAGCTTTGGGAACGCTCGAGCGTAGTTTTCCCGGGCCCCGGGGCCACATTGTCATTTAATTCTATTTGCCAAAAGCTTTTCCGAGACGGCACATGGACATAACATATTAGAAGAAAAGGGAACCGTACCGAATCTAATTTGCGACGGTCCCAGGCCTGCAGGACCGATAGGACGTGCATATAGGTACGTGCCGGATTCTTCTCCGTTTCCTGTTCGCGGGAGGGACAGGAAATGAGGAACTCGAACGTCGAATTCTCGTGCACGACGTTAATTATCGTCTGAAATAATTATACGTTCGTATACGCGCCCGCGACACCGTCAAGGCGTCATCGTCGAGCGCGGTGGCACGTCAGACGAGCACAAAGCGTCCGTACGCGAACACGCGCCCGGGCATCGACGTACGGGAGAGTACGAGGGAGCCAGCTGTACCATTTGAGAACAATGCGGCGCGGCAGTTCGTACAGATGGATCAGCTTGCCCGTCTTCCTGGAGAATGAGAGAAAGAGAAACGGCGGCGGCGGGAGGGAGGCAGAAGAAGAGAGAGAGAGAGAAGGACAGAGAGAGCGTGAGAAAGAGAGGGGGTTTTGCCACAAGGCGATTCTACAGTATTACGTACGTACCAGCGCACAATGGCTGCTCGCACTCGTAGGCGTTGTATCTTTGGACATACCTGTCCGGTGCACAAATAGAACCGAAGGTAGAGCGCTTTGAGTCCCATCGTGGTGTACGTTGGTATACGTGGCAACGCCGAGAGAACGGGCCTTACCTGAGAGCGACCCAACAATCGACCCGCGGCACGGAGCCGGGCAGGCAGGCAGGCAGGAAAACGTGCCTCGAGATTCTAGACTCCGAGGCTAAACAACCACATATACATACCCAAGTTCGATCTATAGTTGATTGGGTTCGCACGATCGCGCGCGGGTAAGCCAAATTGAAATTCGCATTCCCAAATGAATCCTGCTTATAAAGGTCGGTTCTATGCGCGACCGGTTACGACAATCTATGCCGATCGCGATTTACGGTTCAAGTAGAGTTAGTGGAGAATGAGATGCCTCCCTCAAGCTACTTTAGGTGAATCGCACCTCGCTCGATGGAAAACCTAATATCGCATTAAAACAGAATTTATATGCACTGCAAACAGGAGGAACAACACACGCTTGTGTATATCGATCCGCTTTCGAAGCCGGGGGGCCGCCACGGGTTTTATCCCGGTGCTTAAGACTTATCGTTAATATTCGTTGCCGTTGACGGAATAAGCGTCACACTCTTCAGGGCGCCTCGTGTTTTATGAATGCCTCACATCGAAAATTCTATTCGACGAGCGGACGCTACTTAAACGGAGAGAGAATTTAAAAAAAAGGCGCTCGGGCATTATAGACAAAAATTCCGAAATAAAACGTCCACGAGACTATTGTCGATCAATCAATTTGACAAAACAAAATTCATCTCGACAAACTCGTTTTGTCACGATTCCAGTTGAATTTTAATCTGTGATCTAGAAATGTACAATATCGTGTCGTCTCGTGGTTTCAATAATGAGACTCCTTGTCGCATGAAATGTTAAACGAATAAAAAACATTTCAAAAGTATAGTGAGAGAGAATTGTATAACTTCGTAAACAAAAGTTTATGAATTTTTAAAAAGATCTCCCGTGAATATCTTTATCTCTATCGCGAAATTGATAAAATGTCCCTTCTCTGTAAAGTTGGTTTCACTTTAAATAATCGAAACAGTTCCATTTCGTACCCATATCTATAATCCCCTTGGAACATATATTACTGTAAAGAGAATTGAGTGCTGAACGTGAAGCCAACATCTGTGCGAGAGAGAAAGATATAGATTCCCAATTGACTGTAATACGCCATTGTGCCATTCAATCCCCATTCAGCCCGTTTTGCCTAATTTCTTTTTTTTTTTTTTCGAAAATTAAAAAAAAATGAAAAACGGAACTAAGTGAGGGCATATGCGCATTACAGTTAATTGGGAACTATACCTGTCTCTTTCGCACAGATGTTAGCTTCAGCTCGAATGGTATAGACAATTCTCCTTCCAGTAGTACATGTCTAAGATAATTCCTGGTGATTTTTTGAAAATATTGTAGTTCGAATTTTTTTTTCTGATGATTCGTTCATAACGATTCGTTCATCGGACGACTGCATTCAAACCATATTACGTCGCGTATCTTTCGTCGAAATTAAGAAGATTGCAGATTTTTATGTCCTCCCGCAGAGCAACGAACGCGGGCGTATCTCGCGCGTGTCTGCGCAAGAATATCTCGCCGAGTTTTAACGAGATCATAACGGAGAGTCGAATAAATGAAGCATTCAAATGTTCCACGGAAGAACTAAACTTTCAGGCGCACGCTCTCTTTAGCATCTCACGACCGATTGCGCCGAGCGTCCTGCACTGCAGCAACGTACCGTTGCAAAAGATAATTGAATTGCCTTTTCAGGTGTTTGAAAATATCACTGTTTCGTAAATTAGTAGTTATTTAATGTGACTCGTGTGCACTGGCAAAGTAATGCATATACACGTAAAATAATTTTGTAGGCTCCCGAAGGGAACACGAGGTATCCTTGTATAGACGTTTAGTTTGCCGAAGCAGAAAACTATCTAACAAATAAGTCCTTATTCTCAATTTTTGTCGAAAGGTCAACCACTACTAAAAAAATGTACGGTGATTGCTAATTATGGCAATTATGACAGCACATTTTATTGCTAGCATTGCTATTGTATTGCTAATATTGTTTTCGTAATGTCAGTAATGTCAGTAAGTAACTGCTATCAATTAAAAAACAGTATTGCCAAGTATTGCTAATATATTGCTATGTTTTGTTAGCATATTGCTAGTATATTACTAGCATTGCCTGTTTGAAATCATTACTGTATTGTCAATAATATATTTCTAAAGAAATGTATACAGTGATTATCATAGTGGTTGACCCCTCGATTTTTGTTTTACGTGTAAGATGGATCGATAAAGATGGATCGCGTAAATGCGTAAAGCAAGCAAATTAGTCGTTGATAATAAAAAAAAAGTCTAACTTATATATGTTAAACTCGGTTTTTCATTTTCTGATTGTGGTTAGGCTTATCCTGATAATATAATTGTCATTTGTTAATGATTCATTAAACTGATGATTTTGTGATCAATAATTATAAAATTACAACTGTACAAAATAATCAGTTTAATGATGATTTAATCATAAATTGCAAAACATAATTTTTACAACAAAATCAGATAAAGTTTAAATTAAATATCTGAACCACAAGTTAATCAGAAAATGAAATCTCGGAAGTGAGATAAGTTGTGAATTTCTTTGACTTGTATTGCATTGCAATGGAGTTGCCTTTTTGAGAGAGACTATAATTGTATTTTGCGTTCGACTGAATTTCAGTGAATATTTATACTGGAAATTTTGATACAAACTTACGTGTTCTCAATGTTAAAAGGCTGATCCTGATGTGACTTTCCCCGTGCCTTCAATTAGCAGTACAATTTGCTCCGTCATTTGTTCGAATGTTGAATTACGAGAACAACCACGATGTCAGGTTCTACTACGACTGTACTGAAAGAGAAAAGTTGCATTGTTTCAAGACTAAAGACCGACTGCAGAGTCAAGAAATAAAAGAATCATGTGAGGTATGTGAGGTGAGAGAATCGCGCTGGATACACCGGAAAATACGTTTCCCGCTCGCTCGCGCCGAATATTCGCGGGGGATATTGGCAGGAAAGAACGCTTTTCACGGCAGCGTACCTATGCTCGTACCTATGAGCGGAAATTCGAAAACGCCTTGTAAAGATAGGCGCTTCATGAAGATTAAAAAAAAACACATCCGAGAAGATACATTTCCCATCTTGATTTACGTCTATATGTACTTCATTCTTGAATGCACCAATCCTTTTTTTCCGTTAACTACGTGATCTTGCAAAGTAATGGAAATAGTTAAAAAAGAAGAAAAGTATTTCTTGCTAGTTAAGAGATAAATTACATTTTAAAGTTCTTAACTGTATAATTACTATTACAGAAATATAAAGTTGAAATTTTTTGCGGTTCGAGTTTAATGTAGACTTGTGCAAACGCAATTTAGTTTTAATTAATGGCATTGAGTGAAGACTATTTCTGAGAGGTGGAATAAAGTTTTTTTCCCGCGGATTAAAGTTCATTCAAGATGTAACGTCCGTTTGTTAAACAATTGAACTCATGTCCTAGCACGTATATTAGCGGAGATCTTAATGTTCGCGCGCGATCTGCCCTCCCACGTGCAGCCAAATTACGTGCTATACGTTCTCGTAAATGAAAGAGAATGACCTGCCACGTGAAGTCCAATCCTTTCGCGGGACATGGCGGAATTGGCAATTATTTATCCGGAAATGTTTCCGGCGCGGAACCGCCGCAAAGACACGGTGGCCAACTAATTGCCAATTTCAAGCAGGCAGGAGGATTTACACGGTCCAAAACGAAGTCGCGTGTAAACACACACCGGCGAAAATTCCGTTAATGCCGCGTGCGCGGCGCGTGTACAAAATGTATAATAAATGGAATCGGGATGCATTTTCACGTCGTATCAATAACGGGGCAATAACGGTCGGTCGACAAGTCAGCCGGGATCAGATGGTATCGGTTAGTGGGACGAGCGTACGTCACGTCGTTTTCGCCGCGCCGCAATGTCGGTCGGACACGCGATGAAATTATTAGCGACAATAATTGATAGCCGGCGCGTATCGGCGCGCATCGCGTTCGCGCGCGATCAGCGCTGCTAAATTATTTCGTTACGCGGATACCCCGCGTTCGTCGGGGTCCAAGTTACCCTCGGCTCGATGCGTTTGCTATGCACACAAAGCGGTCGACCGCTGCCGCTGCAGCCGCTGCTGCAGCGCGCGCGCCCTCATAATTTCGCCGCGGCCGCGATCGTTCGTTGAGCACACATACTTTTCGCGTTCCCCACCCCCTCCCACACCCCCTTTGCCTGAGTACACACCTACTCTTTCTCGTTTACCCTGCGCGCCGGCGGATCTTACATACGCGCGTACGTGATTCGCGTCATCCCCCGGCGCGAGAATCGCCGCGCGCGTTTTCCCCCGCGGGGCCACGCCGAAATCACGACTTCCATCGGATTTCTAACTTGGGACTCGCTTAAAACGCGTACGTGCCCGTAGCTCTTTCCATCGCCAACATTACGGCGCTTCAGACTCGTATCTCATCGCGCGCGATCACGTTCGAGAACTCTGGGAGCCCTAGCGAGAGAGGGACACTTTCGTTCCAACAAAAATAAATGAATTCGACCCGTGCGCTGCCGTATTAGGATATAAGTTTCGTACTACGACGTACATACGATAGTATATACACTCTGGCGGGTATCGTGTAACATGTGGAAATTATTTTTGGCTTCAAATGAATATTATCATTTACTGGATTTGTGTAAAAAGTTAAAACAAAATACATACTCTCTAAAAGTGAATCAATGGAAGCATCACTGATTTTCAGTGTATATCATTTTTCAGTGACATATCTTGAACTGTAATAAACAGTGATAAACAATTTCAAAAACGCTAAAAAAACAGTAAATTTCACTGTCAAACAGTTTTGAGAGAGTTGAAATTCATTGTCCTTTAGTGATAGTCACTGTCTGAATCAGTACATTATCACTGAAACAACATTGAAATACCTAGTCACTGCTTATCACAGTTCAAAGTATGCCATTGGAAAATGATATAAACCGAAACTCGGTGATAATTCCGATAATGATTCACTTTTAGAGAGTAAATAAATTTAAAAGCACCTTCTATACAGTCACGGCTGGATCTTAGGGTCTATAGAATTTATTAGATACCAAGATTCAGCCGTGACCATAGAAGGCGCTTTCAAATTTGTATTTTCACATGCGCGGTCTAGTTTAAATTAATATTGTTTAAAAAATACATATATATAATATTGAAAGATATTTTCGATTATACTTCAAGAAGTTACGTATCGATACCGAAATTCGATCGTAATTCCGGGAAGATGCGCGAAGGAAATCGTACAAACTTGGATAGCATCGGAACTTTGACACCTCCTCCCCCCCCCCCGCTAGAGTAGGAAATTGCAGCTGGTCGAGTCATCTCGTAAACGGATACGATGCAAGTGTATACAGGCGTGGCTGCCTGAATCTAAAAGTTCAGTGATAAATCCGACGGATTATTGCCCGAGAAAGTTGTATCGCTCCGACTTTGTTTATGGCCGCGGATTTTGTCGAATAAACACAAAACTCGACCTGCCCGGTAATAATGATGTTGCAACGGTTACTTTGCTACATAGTTACATGATTTTAATTCGACAAACCGCAACACTATCATTACGCCCGCGCGTAGTAAACTCTCGACACAGTACGTACAAATCGCCCGTGTGCAAAATATCAAATTCTCTTGTTACAAAAATAATCTCTAGCGAATAATCTCTATAATTCAATATATAGCTGTTAGCCATTAGATTCAATCTTAATCGATAAGCCAACTTGTCGTCCTGCGTAGAAGCACCTATGTAATTTCAGCCGTCATGGTTCACTTTTCATTCCACTGAAATTTCATACGCATCGCTAATTAGAAACTAGTCGCCGTTGTCCATAAATTACACAAAATTATATGTAGTCTTGTCGATGCGCGTCACCAATATAAACACGTGTGCGTATAATTATCCCTTTCAAAATATAATTCAAAATAAAATCTGTTAAAAAAGTTAAGTGAATTTTTGAAGTGCCTACCTATATTTTAAAACAATCACATTTGCTTGATATCTCATAAATTACTGTTTGAATATTTAGGATGGATATATATATATATATATATATATATATATATTTCTAACATTTGTCATGTTTTATCCGAGGTTTTATCTATGACAGCCCATAATTTTCTTAGGAATTTGGCGAACAAGCTCTCGCTCATTTCTGGCCGACGTCGAATGTCGGTATCGCTAATGAAATTGAGCTGGGCGAAATTAAGGTCAGCGGTGTATCGTCGGGACCCGATTTCCGCGCAAAGACTCTTCAGTTTCGCGTATATAGTTCCATGAATTGTTCCGCGGAACGGAGACAACTATGTCGGATCCGCGTGCATCAGTATGCATGTATGCCGCACTACGATTACACTACGACGACAGCGGGATGGGCCGAAGTGCCCGGGGAAATTGGAGAGGTAGGGAGGAGAATATTTGAACGTCAATGAGTTTACCGTACCGCGTCACAAACGTTGGCCAGTTTACAAATCCGATAATGCCAAACGCCACCGATGACGCCGCTGTTTATGGATTATTACGGCAATATGCATTCGGGACGGGGCGCATCGAGCCGACGAGCAAGATGGACGTGCGCTTGTTGCGTAATTTCAGAGCCGCGGTTACACACAGATGCATCAGGCGGGCTGAATTCCGCTTCGCGGGCGCCGCGCGTTTTCCTCCCCGCCGTATGTGTACGCGCGTCACCCCAGGAGAAACGCCCTTGTCACAATTCCACTAATCCTATCGATTTCATCTCCCTTTCGCCGCCACGCTCGCCCGTTGGTATCGCGCGCGCAAAAAAAAAAAATTCCTTCGACACGTTATTGGTAAATCGTTCTGCGCGCTCCTTAATCTGATTTTCTCCTGCGCGCAACCAATAGTCGAGAATTTATATCGAGCCTCGGAGAATTCCAAGCGGACTGCTCGCTCTCTCGCATTTGATTTGATCAGACAGTACCGGGAGAACGTACCGTGTACATCCCAATAGATAACCCACACAAAAACGAGTTCTTCTTTTATATCTCCGCGCGGGTACGGACGAGCGTACTTGAATTAAAGTGTAACAGGTATTCGTTTCGAAATGCCACAAAAATTATTTGTGATCAATAAGATAATCGGATAAGAGTAACGGTGAAAAGCTAACGGTTGGCTGAGACTTGTAAAGATAATAAAAAAAAAGGAAACGAAAAAAAGATACGTATGTACAAACATTGTTCATAATTTCCGTTCGTAAAATTTACTCTATCCCGTCTCTCTAATAAAAAACGCAATGTAATAACAGAAAACGTGAATTTAATATGTGAATTTAATAAGGCGTAAATTAAACGTAAACATAATAGGCCAGATTGACATAGCGGTCTCTGTACTTGTTGAAATAAAATGTGTAAAAAAATTCGGCACGTACAATCCGCTCGGAATCCTCGCGAGTAAAACCGATTCCAAACGGGATTATGCAAAACCGATTTAGCAAAGGCTATAATAGTAAAAGACCGTACGGGGGTGCGAGCTGATAATACGAGGGACGAGCGAGGAAGTGCATTGTCTTGTTCAGGTCAGAAAGATTTCTACAGCTCAGTTTTTCAGATGTCCTCCTTGAGAAATTCGACGGGCGAGAAGCGCAACCTCCCTTAGATATAAAAGCTATTTCCAGCGAGCTATGTCGCGCGTAATTTGAATAATTAAATGAACACCGTTGTGCGTCAAGCGAAAAGGAAATAAATCGCGCGCCGTGCTCCGCGTCGCTCGTTCTTAAAATAACGTTTATTCGCAGAAGAATGTATTCGAATTAGAAAATGGGAATAGCTATT